GTTATTTTTTTCGGATTCTTAATGTGCTTTTCATGCTCTTTCAAATGATTTATAACAATCGTTTTTTAAAGCAAAATTGAAATTCGTGAATTTTTCAAATTTGAGTTTTTTTTTTACAATATTTCTGTTTCTTTGAGCTTGGTGTGTATATATCTTATGACCTATTTTATGTAGAACATTGAAACTTGGAACACAACAAGACAATTTGAATATGAATTAACCTATGCCAAAAAAGTTGAGGTGGGCGTGGCACATCCGGGTTGAATTACTAATTGTTTACATTTTGAGAAAGGGGCATAACTCGCATAGGATACATTTGTTCAAAAAGGAACTTTGCACACAATTACCTCATTATTTTGGCCAGTTTGTGTTAATAGGTCAATTGTTTCAGCTTTATAGTTCCAAAAAAGGAACGTGTTTTGAAATTTCCATATTTTCAATTTTCTATTTTGACCTTTATTGACTCTTGTTGACCTATATCTTTTGACCTGTATGATGTAGAAGCTTTAAATTTGGGATACTACATAATATTCAGAATATCAATTAACCTATGCAAAAGAAATTGAGGTGGGCGTAGCACATCCGGGTTAAATTACTCATTATTGACAATTTTGGCAAGGGACTTAACTCGCAACGTATACATTTGTTCAAAATGGAACTTTGCATACAATTACTTCATCCGTTCAATTTTTGACCTTGACCTTTTTTGACCCTGATTTTTGTAGGATCAAAGGTCATTCAAATTGGTTATCTATTTATACTTTTATATTTGCTGTCCTATCTCAACTTCCGGTTTTATAGCCGTATATATTTAAAAATTTTGATGACTTGTATCTCGTAACCTTGACCTTTGTTGACCCTCTCCCTTTCAATGTTAAATGTCATTGACCTTGGCTATCTTCTGATACTTTCATTTGTGAGGTCTGTCTACTTCCGTTATAACAATCTTCCAAAGAATTCTTCTCAACTTTAGACTGCTCTTGCGCGTGATGTAATTATCGTAGAAGGTTGATTTCTTCAGAGTCTTTTGCAATTTGCTACATTTGCAAAGTCCCACTCTGTGCCACGTGTGGCTCTAGTCTTTTATTTTAATCAAATTGTGACAGTGTGGTTTATTTGACTGTTCCTTTAAACAGTTGTTTTTTTATACTTCACTGCACCAGCCAATCACCTGTAAATACCCCTTTGTTTTGATCTATTTATATCTTGGGATTCACCTTTCTGTCTGTCTTCTGGGGTGAGCTGTTTTCATCCTCACCCTAGCTACTGTGTGTATTAGATACCACATTTTCATCATTAACTTTGTAGAGTGGAGACTAGATTTGATTCCTTCACCAAATCTAGTTATTCAGTCAGCTATCTGATTAATTCTACATTATTCAGTGAAAGTCTGTGTATATTACGTAGTTTAGTTAATAAGATATAGTTTACAAATATACATTTAACCCCACTTCGGGTTTTTTTTTTAGTTATATAATAAATTTGGAACGAGAACCCAAGCCTTATTTTTTGGTTGAAGGGGAGAACCCCTTGCACCCAGGGACCGGCTACATTTGGCGCCCAACGTGGGGCTTAAAGGCCTCAACTCAACAGAAGATTGGATTAGTTATTGTGACAGAATTGTGAACTGATATTTAGTGAGTGTTTATCCTAGGATTAAGGTAGTTAGTTATTTAGTATTTAGTTAATTTTGTTTTCATAGGCCTTAAGTGATCACATATTCATTCTACCCTTGATTTAGTGAACATTTCACCTAACCTTTACTTTGACCTTTCAGAGGTTCAAGGATTGCTTTTGGAATATTTTGGCCACAGTAGGTCACTGGGTCTGGGTAATGGTGTCAAGGTCATTGTGTCACTAGATCAAGAATGGATTGATATGATTATTTTTTTTCATTTGTACTTAGTAATTTAGTTTAGTGTTTTGATACATTAAGTAATTTACATCTACATATATATATATATGCATATAGTATACACATGTTACATAATAGCATTTAATAATAATACGTAAACTTAAGCAGATGGTAAATAATTTTGTGTGCTTGAAAGTTTGATAGATAGTACGGGAGGGGGTCTGTGTAAGCAACACACATATCGAATCTTTTTCTTTTCAGCTTAATTCTTTCCTTTCCTTTCAGCTTAATTCTTTTTTTTTCTCGGTCATATTTTTTTTCAGGTTTTATATCATCAACTCACTTGCACTCACATTGTATAGTTGTTGTTTTGGACTTTGACGTTTTTGATGTTCTGTTGAATGACTTGATATTGGACGTTTTTGGTGTTCTGTTGAATGATTTGATATTGTGGGGGTCTTTGATTGAATTTTGAGTTTTGAATTTATTTTGGGTTTTGACTTTGTGGTTCATAACGTCTTCAGTTTTGAATTTTTTTGATTATGAGATTTGTCTTTGTATTTTGATGTTAGTACTTCAAGTTGTATTGAAGTTTGTACTTGGATTGTAGTTCGATTTTGTACTTGGATTGAAGTTTGTACTTGGATTGTAGTTCGATTTTGTGTTGATTTGATTTTGTATTGATTTGATTTTGTATTGATCTGATTTTTGATTGGTTTTGGTTTGACTGATAATTTTATGGATTGATGTTTAGTTCTGAACATAGTTGAATTGAATTGTTGGATTGGTGATTTATTTCTTTGTATTATCTTGCTTCAGTTACCTCATCTTATTATATCAGTTAACATGACAAGTGCTGGACAAGCTATTAAAATGGATGACGAGGAAGTTATGGATGTTATTAATGCGTTTGCGGCTTTGGGAGTCAAACCTAAAGCTTCATCTAAAGAGGATTTGGTAGCATGGATGGAGGCTTTTACCGAGTCTCGGAAGCCTACTGTTCAGGATAAGCCCACTGTGACACCTCACAAGGAAGAAAGGGATAAGCCTTTGCGTGTACTACCTACCCCTCCAAAACTTTCTACATTTTCAGGTGATGACGATTTAAGGTCTATTGTAATGTCGCTTGCTTCATCTATGAAGGAGTTGAAGGACGAGGTGAGAAGTTTAAGGAAGCAACCAGCCACTACCATCAATGCTATGAAGTCTACCACCAGCACTTCTCAGGAAAGAACAACTACAACTGAGGAAGATGAACCAACATGTTTCAAATGTGGAAAGAAAGGTCACTTGGCATATGGTTGTAGGACTAAGAAGCCGTTAAACTCCAGGATGTCATCGTCGAGGGGCAGACGATAGACAGTACTATTGGCCCTATAAGGACAAAAATGGTTGGAAACAGCAATCAAGCTGAAGTTTTGATCAATGACCATCCTGGAATAGCTTTGTTAGACACTGGATCTCAGGTTTCAATTGTGTGTGAGTCATTTTATACAAGATATCTTAAACATGGATGAAAATTTTATGAAATTCAGGATATTATAAAGTTAGAAGGCGCAGGAGGTAACCAGGTTCCATACCTTGGTCTTGTAGAGGCGTCAATTTCTGTTTCACGTATTGTTGATAAGTCCATACCTTGCATTTTTTTTGTTGTTGAGGACACACCCTATCATCAGGATGTTCTAATTATTTTGGGGACTAACATCTTGGAATATTAAATGAGAGAGACTAAGGAGACTTATGGTATTAACTTTATGAGTTGTATAAAAGCCTATACTCCTTGGTTACTGGCATTCCGTTGTATGAAGGTATTTGTGAAATCTCAACAAGAAATATTATGGACAGGACTTGTGAAATCAGCAGAAAGGAAATCTGTATGTCTGCATAGTAATCGTTCGACAGTTGTTGTTTGCCGTTTACAGGGAAAACATTCTGCAACTAGTGGCGATGTACTTTGTCAATCATCTAGACATTCCAAATTGCCATCGTCATTGAAAAATTGCACCTACTTTGGTCAGATTTCAACCAGGGGGAGACAACATGGTTTATGTAACCGTATCTAATTTGTCAGCATACCCTATTAATATTCAGCCCAATTCTATTGTTTGTGAATTTGTTCCTGTTACAGAGATTCAGTCTAGTGACACTGTTTCAGCTGTCATACACTCCATTCAGGAGGCGACTAGCAATGGCTGTAATGGAATTGAGAGAATAGATTGGAGCACTGCTCCCTTGTTAGAGCAAGATTTGGAAGTGGCAAAAGATTTCACTAAGAAATGGCAGCATATCTTTTCTAATAGTGATGTTGATGTAGGATGTACTGGTTTAGTGAAACATCCTATTAAACTTACTGATGAGACTCCATTTAAGCAGAAACATCGACAAATTCCACCAGCTATGTTTGATGAGGTAAGAAAACATCTGCAAGATCTGCTTACCAGTGGTATCATTAAGAAGTCTAACAGTCCATGGGCTTCTAATATTGTACTTTGTCGAAAAAAGGATAACTCATTAAGAATGTGTGTTGATTTCAGACAGTTAAATCGTCGTACCATCAAAGATGCCTACGCTTTACCACGTATAGAGGAAGTTCTCGATAACTTGTCTGGTGCTAAGTGGTTTAGTGTTATTGATATGAAGTCTGGGTACCATATGGTTGAGTTAAAGGAAGAAGATAAGTGTAAAACTGCTTTTACAGTAGGACCTTTAGGCTTCTACGAGTTCAATCGAATGCCATTTGGACTGACCAATGCGCCTGCCACTTATCAGAGATTGATGGAGGAATGTCTTGATGATTTACACTTGAAGATTTGTATGATATACCTAGATGATGTTATTATATTTTCTGACTCCTATGAACAACACCTTGAGCGGTTACAACTGGTTTTCGAAAGATTTGAGTCATCTGGTTTAAAGCTGGCACCAAAGAAATGTAAATTTTTCCAACAGAAGGTAAAGTATTTAGGGCATATTGTTTCACCTGATGGAGTTCAAACTGATCCTGATAAAACTGCTAAAGTTACAGATTGGAAGACACCAACTAATGCAGATTATGTAGTTTTTTAGGATTTGTAGGATACTACAGAAGATTTATTAAAAACTTTTCGAAAATTGCACCATTTAATCAACTCTTGGTCGGGAGTCCAACATCCAAAAAGAGGGGGGGGGGGTAAGGTTGCATCACATGTTTCAACAGCGTGGCATTGGGATATACAGGAAGAGACTGCATTTATTGAATTAAAGCAGGCTTTAGTTTCACCTCCAGTTCTTGCTTATCCAGATTGTTCTAAACCGTATGTTCTCCACACGGATGCAAGTACTAGAGGTTTCGGTGCAGTGTTGTACCAGGTAACAGATGGGAAAGAGCATGTAATAGCTTATGCAAGCAGAAGTTTGAGTAAGTCGGAAAGAAATTATCCTGCACATAAATTGGAATTTCTTGCTTTGAAGTGGTCAGTAACAGATAAGTTCCATCATTATCTGTATGGTAATTCTTTCACTGTGTACACTGATAATAATCCGTTAACGTATATTCTAACATCCGCAAAATTAGATGCTACAGGGCATAGATGGTTAGCGGCACTTGAAAATTTTAGTATTAAGTGTCGACCAGGAAAGAGAAATATAGATGCAGATTGCTTGTCGAGGCTACCTGAACCAACTTTTGAGTTCCGTGAAATCTCAGACGAGTCCATTAAAGCACTTAAAGGCATGTTGTTGGGTGAAGAAGAAGGTTATGTTTCTTGTTTAGCTGCCCATGTCATCCCTGATTTGTCTGTACCAGATAGTTCTGCTGTGGACACAGCTTCGGATTGGTCTACGAAACAACAGTTAGATGTGGTAATTGGTCCAATTTTTAGAGCTGTCAAGGCAGGTAAGAAACCAGTTAAAACACCAGTATCACCATTAGAAGCAGTATTGTACAAGCAATTTGATAAGCTAGTGATAAGAAATGAAATTCTGTACCGAACATCTACTTCTTCAGGTAAGTACATCAACCAACTAGTGATACCTTCTGGGGAGAGAACTGTAGTTCTTCAAGGAGCTCATGACAGGATGGGACATCTTGGACGAGATAAAACCTTATCTCTGCTTCGGGAACGAGTGTTTTGGCCGAAGATGTCTTCTGACGGGAGAGAACTGTAGTTCTTCAAGGAGCTCATGACAGGATGGGACATCTTGGACGAGATAAAACCTTATCTCTGCTTCGGGAACGAGTGTTTTGGCCGAAGATGTCTTCTGACGTGGATGACTACTTGAAGAAATGTCAAAGGTGTATCATGAGGAAATCGACAACCAACACTCGTGTCCCTTTAGTCAACATCCATGGAAATAGTTTGCATGGATTACCTTTGCCTGGAAGAATGTAAGGGAAACATCAGCAATATATTAGTTATTACCGATCATTTCACACGTTATGCCCAAGCTATTCCCACTAAAAACATCAATGCGAAAACAACTGCAAAAGCTCTATTTGACAACTTTATAGTTCACTATGGTTTTCCAAGACTCATTCATAGTGATAAGGGGGGTAGTTTTGAGTGTAAAATCATCCAGGAACTGTGTGCAATGAGTGGAATGCGTAAGTCAAGAACCACTCCATATCATCCATCTGGAAATGGAATGTGTGAACGGTTCAACCGTACTCTTTTAAACATGGTAGGTACTCTTGAAACATCTCAGAAATCAGACTGGAAGCAATATTTACCATCATTAACTCATGCTTATAATAGTACATGTCATGATAGCACTGGATTTTCACCATTTCAACTTATGTTTGGTCGTAAGCCATATATCGCTTTGGATATTGTGCTAGGTTTAATAAATCAGGAGCAACATCAAAGTCACAGCAAATATATCTCTGACTTTCGAAAACGTATGGAAACAACTTACCATTTAGCATCAAAGGAAATTTCAGGTTCGAAGCAAGAACAGAAAAAGTATTACGATAAGAAGGCTAAACATTCAGTTCTTGAAGTAGGAGACAGAATTTTAGTCAAAAGATTAGCATTTAAGGAAGGCAGACATAAAATAGCAGATAAGTTTGAAGAGAGTGTGTATAAGGTAATTAACCAGCCAAATGAGGATATACCAGTCTATCAGGTAGGTAGAGAAGATGGTCGCGGTAAAGTGCGAGTGTTACACCGAAACAATCTTCTGCCCATTGGATCTATCCCTATGGGTTTACCACCACCGGTAGAGACAGGAACTGCAGAAAGGCGTAGGATGTTACCATCAGTTACCGCATTATCTGATTCAGACAGCACAAGCGAGGAAGATTTTGTTGTTGTAGAGGAGGAGCCTTGCGACGCACCCCCAGCTAGCCCTACAATAGATCTTCAAGATGACGAAGTTGACGATTGTATTCCACCAGAAATAGCGGTAGTCGACACCGCTGAAGATGGAGAATTGGTCAGTTCAGAAGAAGAAACACCTATGACAAGAACGTCTGGACGGACTCGAAGATTACTATCTCGATATGGAGATTACGTCATGATGGTGGCAACTACTTCAGATGTCATGACACCATCATCTCTTTTTAGGTATCTGTGTTCCGATGAATTTAGTTCATTACCATCACATCGGAGGAAAATTGTTTGTGAAGCTTTAAAAGTTATTTGTGGTTTTTAGTTTGTAGGGAAGGGTTATTTTTAGTTTAACTAGGGTGTTTTTATTATTGGTATTGTGTAAAATGACGGGACGACATTTTTTTTCAAAGGACGGGAGTATGTGACAGTGTGGTTTATTTGACTGTTCCTTTAAACAGTTGTTTTTTTATACTTCACTGCACCAGCCAATCACCTGTAAATACCCCTTTGTTTTGATCTATTTATATCTTGGGATTCACCTTTCTGTCTGTCTTCTGGGGTGAGCTGTTTTCATCCTCACCCTAGCTACTGTGTGTATTAGATACCACATTTTCATCATTAACTTTGTAGAGTGGAGACTAGATTTGATTCCTTCACCAAATCTAGTTATTCAGTCAGCTATCTGATTAATTCTACATTATTCAGTGAAAGTCTGTGTATATTACGTAGTTTAGTTAATAAGATATAGTTTACATTTAACCCCACTTCGGGTTTTTTTTTAGTTATATAATAAATTTGGAAAGAGAACCCAAGCCTTATTTTTTGGTTGAAGGGGAGAACCCCTTGCACCCAGGGACCGGCTACAAAATCATCAACAATTTCAACATCATTCAAACTATCCACATCTTTATTAATAGAAACATCTTCATTTTTAATACACAAATCAACATCACTAATATTTTCACTTTTTTCTCCACTCACACCACTGTCAGCCTGCCTTGAATTGGTATCACAACAATCACCACCTCTCGAACCGTTACTCACTCCGTTATCAACACATGAAGCAGTGCTCACGAACAAATCATGGTCAACCACTGGAACACACAAATATTTCCAATCAAATAATCCACATCTAGGGCATAAAACCGCTGTGCATGACTTTTTCCCATGCCCTGGCTCCTCACATCTAAAACATTTAATATCTGGGCATTGAGACAAAATATGACCAGGTTGTAAACAGTTAAAGCATACTTTCTCTTGCTCATTATGTCTGATTGAATATGAAAGTCCTTCGAAATTAGTAGCATACGGCAAACTGGCAACGTTAGGAGGAAACTCTACCTTTAAATATCTGGTGCCATCATATTTCTTTTTCCCTTTGAAATCAACGGTTTTCCTTATCAAAGGCCCGGCCACTTTTACACCCCATGATTTCAATTTTTTCAAAATATCTTCATCCTTTATGTAAACAGGAATATGCATGAATGAAACAACCTTGATTCTCGAATCAACAAATTTACAATGCATACCTTCTTTACAGTCTGCCATTAATCCGTCCTCCACCAATTTATATGCAACATCCTTATGCACAAGAGTAACATCATATGAACCGTTACAAGGAACACAAGCCAGTACACTATCCTCACCAAGTTTCTCCTCCACTAAGTCAATTATCTCCTTTGCACGATATTTCCGAGTATCGTGAACAAACACTTTCACCGTGTTGTTTTTAATCAACAGGTCAACGTCCGCCATCTTGACGATAACTGTCCACCGTCCACGGATGAGGCAGCCGGGCCAAAAGGCCCAAAAATCACTTATACACTATAATATCCAATAAATAATATCCATAAATAGTTCAGAAAGTCATCCAAAATACACAAAAGATAATATGAGTATCCAACCTCAAAAGAATTTCACGGATTCAAACGGATTTACATAGAGAATTCAACACACGTCTTTCTCCTATGAAAACCAAACCGGAAGTCAACTGGTGCTTTCAACGTGGTATGGTCGTAGACATTATATAGAAATTTTTCTGGCGGGTCTTTCTCGCAAAGCAGGGGAAAATACCAGCAAAATGGAGTCTACAGCGCAAAAGGGAGTCTACAGCACTCGGTGTTCCCAGGCGGTCACCCATCCAAGTACTAACCGAGCCCGACGTTGCTTAACTTCAGTGATCGGACGAGAACTGCTGCTTTCAACGTGGTATGGCCGTAGACATTATATAGAAATTTTTCTGGCGGATCTTTCTTGCAAAACAGGGGAAAATACCAGCAAAATGGAGTCTACAGCGCAAAAGGGCGTCTACAGCACTCGGTGTTCCCAGGCGGTCACCCATCCAAGTACTAACCGAGCCCGACGTTGCTTAACTTTAGTGATCGGACGAGAACTGGTGTTTTCAACGTGGTATGGCCGTAGACGTTAGACAGCAATGTTTCAGGCGAGTCTTTGGCCATATAATACGCTACGGTACACACAGAAAAATTAATTTCGGCCCAAAAATTTTGTCCAGGCCAGGAACTGGTCTAAATGGCCCACACGCGATCGAGACTCAGCCTTCGTAGTTAAAAGTTTTTTTAAGGCAACAGTGACTGTCGCTGGATTATAGAAACCGTTAACATTACGCAAAGTTACTATAGAAGTCAATACCAAATTCTAAAAAGCGCAATTTTAATCAAAATACCAAGTGTTATATATCATTTGAAAGAATAGATTGCGTGTAATAAGGACAAAAGATAAATTTTCGCTTATGTAAATTAGGTCACGTGATAGACCTTTTTTTAAAGTTAAAAATCGCGATTTTCAATTGGCTGTAGAACCGGAAGTTAACAGAGCACGACAAAAGTGAAAATATTATCGGATATATCTCGTAATGGGCAACAACCTTTGTTCAGGTCAAAAGGTCAACAAAGGTTAAATAAACGTAATATGAGCCTTTGAAGTTTCGAAAATTGCTGTTTTCGGACGTCTGTAAAACCGGAAGTATATGTTGCACATCAAAAATCAAAGTAAGAATGGTCATCTTAGATCAATGACCTTTGACCATGCAAAGGTCAAGGTCATTTACGTTAAAGTTCAAAAATAAAATTTTCAGAAATTGTTAAACCTGTTCCCTTTTTTAAAGTGAAAAACGCAAACAACTGTAATCTTATCACAAATTGTCCTAAGCAGTGATCTACTTTCATGCAAAATTTCTAGGGTGACAATTGAAAACCATGAGAATTATAACAATTGCAAATATTTCAGGTAAAGGAAAATGCACACCGGATGTGCCACGCCCACTTCAAAAATTTTAATTTGTCTGTGATGATGTGTACATTGTTAAATAATGTTCAAAATTTCAAGTCTTTGCAATCATTAGATCATGAGATATTCGTAGTTAAACTTTTTTTTAGGGCAACGGTGACTGTCGGTAAATTATAGACACCGTGATTTTACGCATAGTTACTATAGAAGTCAGTACAAATTTTTCGATTTTTAAAACGCGCAATTTTGATCAAAATATCAAGTGTGATATATCACCAAAAAGGAGATTTTATGCACTCAAAGAACATATAAGAATTTTTGTCGTATGTTAATTAGGTCACGTGACAGAGCTCTTCAAAGTTAAAAATCGTGATTTTCCAATGGCTGTAGAACCGGAAGTTAACGATGCACAACAAAAGTGAGGATATCATCGGATATATCTCGTATGGGGCAACAACTTTTGTTCAGGTCACAAGGTCAACAAAGGTCAAAGTCACTAGATATGAGCCTTAATATGATTGACAATTACTTAAAACATAAAACCGGAAATAAAAAAAATACGAATCCAAAATTCAAAAATCGGCTTCCTAAGTTTTCTTAGCAATCGATTGCAGATTCTTTAGACACCAGAATCGCACAAATCAGATTTACCCCTGAAGCTTAATATCGATTTTTACAAAAATTGGTCACATCAAGATGGCGTCTAACACGTTACTTCCGGTTCAAATTTTTTCATTCCAAAATTGTTATAGGGACAATTTTAACTAATTTCAAAAAGAATTTTTCAAATACCTACAAAATTCCAGAAGTTGAAATTTCAAGTTTAGAGGCGAATGACGTCAAAACCGGAAGTGATATCGAAATTTTGAAAATAGATTTTTGTCAGGAATCAAAATTCTTATCTACTATTAAATTTTTAGACCGATTGAAATAAAATTGTAGAAGTTGAAAAAAAACGCTAAAATTAAAACAAAAAAAGTCAGCGACAAAAGTCAAAATCTGAAATTTTATAAAGTGCTATCTTTTAGACATTGGCTTGAAGTAATG